TTAGATAAATATACATTCAGAAAAATAAGTAGCATCGATATCAATGTGCGAAGACGTGAACTTACCCGGTAGCTCTTTCTTAGTAAATATCTCTGTATCGGTAAAGCTAGGATGCGGTGATGCCAGCGAAGAGTCCCAGGACGAACCATGCATCGACGTCGGCGGCGCTACGAGTGTCGATGATCTTGTCACTACAAGCTTCAAGATTTTAAGCGCTTCCTTCCATTGAGTGCCCTAAAATAACAGTTCACTAATTAGATGAAAAAATTATGCACACCAATTAATGCACTATATATATTTTTGAAATTAAAAACATTATGTCTCCCTCCAATATGCATTAGAATTAACTAAATGTACTTTAAGATTGTACCTCGACATATTTAGATATCACTCTCAAAAGTTCGGTGTTGATTGGTTGCGCAGCTGGAGAGGCCAGATCCACATAATGCAGCATGCAATGTATAATACTGAGTACAGGCAATGCCACGCTACTCGGGCCCTTCTCCAGAACCTCCACAAGAAAAGCAAGCATATTGAAGCTGAGATGAGCGTACGAATCGTAAAGGTATTTGACCACGCATTTAGTCCATTGGAAGCTTTCCTTGCTGAAAGTGCGGCGGCTGTATAGCGTCATGACTGTACCGAGATTCTCCAATTTTTTCCCCTTCTCTGCGCTCACCTGCTTACACGGAAAATAAAAAAAAGAGAAGAAATGATAAAATCATCTCATTGCGACACACAAATACCATTAATTTATTAATCTGACAAAAGAGAAATTAAGTCGAGTCTTACTTGTGCAATGTTTTCGGCGCTTCTGATGCAAAGTTCGTTGGCGTCTTCATAATTCAGCAGCATGTAAGGCAGCAGCGATACAACGTTCATCGGGAAAGCGAGACTTTGCGTAGGATCGACTACTGGTAGATCCAGCAGTGGCGTAAATTGGGAGAGCAGCGTGACAACCGGCTCGTATGTATTCGGACTGGTGCATCCTTTCAATAAAAGTGCATGTACACCAGGAAACGAGGTCCACCGTAGTTGCTGCTGCAGCTTTTCAACCTTGTCCCTGGCATCTGGTCGATCAAGCGGTAATCTGTGTAACACGCGACTTAAAAGTCGCAGCGCCAAAAGGAACTCATGCTCGTAATCCGACTCGAGCAAAGAAACTGATAACCAGAATAATTGTGCTAATATTGTCATCTTGTCATCCTGCGTCGCGGAATCACCTAGCAATTTTAAGGATTGCGCTGACCTCGATCTGGGGAGATTCGAAATGGGATATTTGTTACCGCCGACTCTGTTTTCCAGTTCTGTAACAAGAAATTTCTTGAAAAATCTATGACTTTGATTTAATTTATACGTAAAGGCAAAATTAAATTTATACTTAAAGAGAAAATTTATTATAATAAGAAGCATTAATTGCAATAACCTTTCATATCGCTAGCTGCAGAATTCCCACCGCTGGACCTCTTCATACAATAACTAACCGAATAACTGGTGCTTCTTGTATGTCCACCTTGATTCAAATGAGAGAACATGTGTGGTCCGGCTGGATAACCATTTCCACCTCCTGGACTGCGCTTTCCTCCGATTACGATTCCCGACACCGGATCCTTGTTGTTCAGATTAGGCGTTGACTTGAAGATCTCTTTCATAAAATCAAGCGGCCTAAAGTCCGATTCAAGAGAATCGACAGCCGCTTCCAGTGTTAGTAACAACTCTGTTACATAACCCTATAATAATAATCGTAAAATTATTGACATGCTTAAAATGCTGATCAAATTAACAATTTTTTCAAAGCTACGATTATCTCAAACTCTACTGAATATTTTTCAAATAAAAAGAATGATCAGAAACTGTCAATATATTAAGAAATTAAAAATGTCTCATAAATATGTGTAATATAATACATGTATGTCAATTCACGTGTGGTTGAATGTTTAAAAATACCTGCATATCTTCGCCTTGCTCGGCAACCGTCTCCACTAGCCTAGATAAGATATCAGACAGCATCCTAGACGTTATAGGAACACGCAACGCTCGGAAAACTTGCAGAGATCTTCCCGCGTAGTGTCTTGATGAGCAGGAAAGACCCAATTGCAGCGCTGTTTGTGCCCATCTTTGACTGACTAAAGCATGGGGCAGCGAGTCTCTAAAGACACGTAACACGTGCCGCAATAATACTGTGAGTTGCTCAGCGCTACGGACCCACCACACTTTAGCCGTCATGTCCTCGTAATTCCAGAGCGGTTGATTTGTCCTATTATGAAAAAAAAGCGATTAAATTAAAAATTCTTCCATTCTCTAAATAATACAATCAACGTGCCTACCTAGACGCGAGAAAATTAATCAAGGACTTAATAACGTCTTGTATCGGCATGTTGGGACCCGGTATCGGCTGAGGACCGGTCCAATTGTTCGCGTCCTCCGGCGTAACAATAACAGGAGGCACCGCACTCGTCGCCGTCCCGTTCGAAGCTGACCAAGCATTGCACACCGCTGATTCTATAAATTTATTTTCATTAACTTCAAAATTGAATCGAAATTGCATGTCAAATATGTTAATTATATATGTAAATAAATAAATAAATATATATATATATATTTTACCATATGCATGAGAGTTTCCGTAGTCATCCGAATGATTCGCATGATTCATCGATATCGGCGGCGTTGACGTCGAATTCGACAAGGACGAATGAGTCGGTGTACCGTCCGCGACCGAAGAAGGTAACGGCGGCGGGGGTGGTGGCGGCGGGGGCGGGGAGGCGCCGATTGAATCGCCGAGGAATCAGGAGGCATAGGCGGCGGCGGTGGCGGCGGCGGTGGCGGCGGCGGCGGCGGCGGCGAAGAGGGTGGCGGCGATGAAGAAGCCGGCGGTGGTGTTGTAGGCGGCGGGGCCGGAGGAGGGCCGTACAAATAGCTATCAAATTCCGGATCCACTTCAGTGAAATTGTGGTCCAGCACCGGCAAGGCCGGGGTGGATAATCCCAATCCCAATTGTTCCGTCTTCGAGGCGAGAAGCACGCGCGCTACACCGAGATGATCGCGATGATCGCCGAGCACAACCAGCAGATTCAGCAGCAGGCAACGGCAGTGATCTCGCACCAGCGGTCTCGAGTGGTCCAAACCGAGGAAAACTATGTGCAGCATCAAAGGGACGTGTATAGCCCAGTCGAGTTGAATTCCATCGATAACGACGTCGGTGAGCAGCATCACAGCGATATTGCATCTAAGTTTTGCAATACAGACAATGGATTATCAATGTGTATCTCTCGCTAGAGCGCGCATAGACAAGTACCTGTGAAATCCGCTTATCGGCTGAGAGCTGTCGGGCAAGTACTCAGTTAGAGGAGCAAAATATCCACCGTACTCGGGCATTGGTAAAGGATGCGGTTGTGGAATATCAAACTTTTCGTCGACGCACGGCATTTTTCCGTTCACTCCAACGGACACGTTGCGTGCAGCGTAACACGACTCGTCAGTAGTCAACTGAAAATACGCCAATTACTTTCATAATTGCTTATTACAAAATTATTTTTAAATTATTACAAAATATTAATTTAAAGCCCGACCTTGTCGAGCTTCTATGTATTTTTAACTTGATTTCGCCATTGAAAAGTTTTCAATCGCAAACAATATACAACTATAAATATTATAATGTTTTAACTAAGTCATAGAAACGTACTTCGGCTTCCGTAGTCGGAGTTGATAGATCGTCCGGAAGAACTGGCGGACCACTCGCAGTCCTTGTCTTTTCTGTCCTTGGAGTTTGAAACCCCGCAAGCGCTCGGAGCGCGGTATCGGATTTCGAGCTACGGAAAAAATTTAAATTAAAGTTTTTTAAAAGGTTAAAGTGTTTTAAAATAAATGCTCGCAGTATCACAAAGACATCACGTCTATTAAAATTACCTACTAATTACCTTCAAACATTTCAAATTTATCACTTAACTACTAATTAAACTTAAGAGATTTAAAATGCTAACGTTGCAGATAACGCACAATCAATAGACATGAACATTGCTCACCCAGTTTTGACGGGATCTTCTCCGGAGTGTCTTTTTGTGTGAATCGTTCCCTTCTCGACACCGAGATCTCGGGGTGGATTCGCAGGATCGGCGGCGGGTGCATCGCTGTGCGATGAGGCTTTTCTCATACTTGTGAGCCGATAAAACGGTGGCGTTTCCGTTCGCTCGATCAGACAGTTGAGAGTCTCGACCGTCTCCAATTCCGTCATCATTTCGTCGACGAGACGATCCGGACGGGCTCGCGCCAGATATAATACCACGCGTTTCGCCTAACAAACACAATTTAACAATTTTAGGACACCTTGCCGGTCGCGAATAAAACTATTCTCAGAGTTTCACTCACGTATGGTAAGAGTTCTTGAGGCGCCATTCCAGAGACGATAATCAAATAGCGGATTATAACTTTGAGGTTGTTTGGCCAACAGCCGCACAAAGTCGCCCAAAGCTCCTCTGTCTCTTTAGGATGCTCGTCAGAGAACTGTGAAATATTTAAATTAGTATTTGAGTAACGCTTAACGGTACATTGTCAGTTTAACTACCTTCGCTGTGATATAAAAGAGATTATTGAGCACCATCTCCGTCGCTTCCGCGCTGCCCCAGCCTTCTCTGCGCGTTCCTCCGCGTGTCACATCGCTCGTATAATACTGTGAAAAGAATTAAGTAGAATTTTAAGTAACGACGCAGAAATGTGTAAGACTTTCTATAGGGAGAATTATTTCAAAATTATTTTCGAGAAAATTTATGTCTCAAAAAAGTACCGCAGAGTAAGCAAAGCCTTAAACCCATGATTATAATCCCAAAATTAATAGTTTTCATTTATAATCTAGAATTCTTTTATAATCTAGAAAAATGAGAAAAATTAAATGCCGCATTTATACTTCAAAAGGTATAATTTTTCATCTATGCGCAATTAAATTTTTTTAAAATTATCAGCTAGATGGTAAATTGAAAGAATATCTCATCAGTAAGCTTTGAAACAAACTCGTTAGTTCGTTACATCTTATCGTTCCTCGTTACATCCGCTTGTGGAAGAACTAACTAGGTAATAAAAGAAATGAGAAAGAAAAAGTTCTTTTTAAAATTTTTTAAATATGCACAATTAAATTTTAAACGATTAATTAATCAAATGACACATTAAAAAGATCTCATAAAAACTTTGAGAGAGTTTAAACATTCCAGTTACACCTTTGAAACAAATCAGCTCATTAAATTACATTCGTTTGTAAACAGAGTAACAAGATAGCAATCATTCGGTGCATTACAACTTGTCACTGTTATTACTGAGACAATTATGAAGTTCCAAGCAAGAGAATATCGATATCGATTGCAATATTGTTTGCGCGTTAAACAAAGATTCTCAATAATTATTTAAATTGCAATCTTCTTTTTTCCGTCCATCTCTCTATTGAGATATCATCAAAGTTATCGTTGATAATTCCTAGAAAGCAAACAGAATGAATGTTACGCCCTTTTCCCATTAAATTATCTGAACGTCGATTTTATTCTCATAAAGTTCGATGTATCACATTAAACCATTGAAACCATTCTATCGTTTCAATTATGCTGTTCGTAATTGAGCGATTAAGTGATTATATGATTAAGCTGTTCATTAGAGTTATCGACAATTGCACGATATGCGAAATAATAAAAAAAAAAAGAAGTCTTGGAGACGCCGGGTATCGATCCCGGTACTTCTCGCATGCGAAACGAGCGCTCTACCATTTGAGCTACGCCCCCCACAATTGTGATGATCGAGAGGCTGATTACGATTGTTGATAATCGTTAATAATCACGTAATAAGAAGAGATTTTAAGCATAACAGTCTTCGATTTCTAGAGTATACAAAATAAGTATTCTAATATTAAAACTACGATCCCTACGATTAATGAGATAAAAGAATCAATGATAATAAATCAAGTATCCAAAAAATGCTATCAATCTTTTTATTTATGCTACAATTTTCTTTTATATATATATTTTTTTCATATATTTTTATGCGAAATTCGTGTATTTTTGCTTTTCTCAATTTCAAGATTTCTCCAAAATTTCAATATAAAGTTTCAACTAAAGTTATTTCATCCTATATTGTTATCAGAATGTTATGTATTTAACAATACACTAGCTTTTATTAGAAATTCTCTTTATCATTTTACAAGCAAAATTGTCCTTGTATTTTTACCCAAATTTTACAATGTTTTTTCAGTCAAAAGTGTAAACGTTATTAAAAATTTGATATTCCTTACAAAAAGATCGACTATGTTTACTATTATATATCTGAATTTCTCTTCATGCGCAACTACACTCGTGATGTTTTGACGTGCTCGTCGATCTACCGTATTGAAATTAGTATGTAATTCTCTGCATTCCCTGTTTACGATCTATTTCGATAACCATTTAGAATTTATTCACAAAGTTGCATCCAATTTCCACCTTTTGCCAGTCGAATAAACATAAACCACAAAGAGATTCCAACGTCATTCCGTACGGTGAAATTGATTCCAAATTGAAAACTAATATTCACAGATTTTCGTCGGCTAAGCGTTACTGACCACAATCACAGATCATTGATCATTAATCTAAAATCAGAGAACATGTTCCTCATATAAAATTAATATAAATGATTTTGAAACTGAGATAGTGCATTTATTTTGGGATACGTGCTAAAATTTTCCAAGATGATATTTAAAGCTTTTACTAGAAGCATATTCACTTCAAGATAATCATCAAGATTGAAAATATCTGATGATATCACTTGTTTATTTTAAACGCGCGATGCACTTAGAACATCGGAATCTTCCAAAATCACATCTGGAGATTGTTTCTAAAAGTAGATCACTCATACGGAGTTTCAAATGATCATTAAAATAAAATATAATGAGAAAGCGAAGCACGGATAGCAAAGCACTCGCTTAATATACAAGCGATACCCGACGCTTTATTTATACGATTACTTTTACATTCTTTTGCCGAAAATGGATCACGATCGCGATCCAAAATAATGCGATCAATAATCTCGATCACAGGGGGCGTAGCTCAGATGGTAGAGCGCTCGCTTAGCATGCGAGAGGTACCGGGATCGATACCCGGCGCCTCCAAATTCACTTTTTGCATCCTTTTACCAAAAGTGGATCACAATCGTAATCCAAAATGATTCTATCAGCGATTCAGATCACCGGGGGCGTAGCTCAGATGGTAGAGCGCTCGCTTAGCATGCGAGAGGTACCGGGATCGATACCCGGCGCCTCCAAGATCACTTTTTTGCTCCTTTCACCGAAAGTAGATCACTTTCTGCAACCCGATTAACTTTGCTACAGGATTGAATTACCGGGGGCGTAGCTCAGATGGTAGAGCGCTCGCTTAGCATGCGAGAGGTACCGGGATCGATGCCCGGCGCCTCCAAAATTTCTTTTTGTTAAAAAGTTTATTTTTTATATCTAGAATATTCCACAAAGACGTAATTTAGATCATGAAACGCGTGGAGCTTATTTAACATGTAAGGACATTAAAGGCAATTTCCGGAATCTTCATAACACCGCATTATACCTTCCTTCGAACAAAAATATTGTTTATAAAAGTTTTATTTTGTTTACGTCTAAATAAAGTATATTATTCGGTATGCATAGAAAATATTGTTCCATTAAAAGTTTGATGTAAAACTCGATTACATTTCATCAATTTTCCAATATACTAACTCTCTTGTCTCTTGAGATCTCAAGTTTAAAATATATATATATGACCAAACAAAACAATAACATTAGTATGAAAGAGAGAAAGAGAGAGAGATCTGTCGATTGTCGCCAAAAACATTTTTTGCATTTTTTTACCAAAAATTAATCACAATCGCGATCCCAAATGCCAACGATTCAGATTGCATACATATGTAATTTGTACGAGTTTAATATTTTACCGTGTTGACTGTCATATGATTTGGCGTTTATTTTACCGAATAACACATTTACTTCACAGCCGCATCATTTGAATAATAATTATTTATTAAATCACGACTAATAATTAAACATATTCCTGATAATAATGCAAGGAACATTCTTGATCGATATAATCCCGATCGATACGGTACGATATATTTGTTTACAAGTAACGTTTCTGCAAGAACACTGAGACAGGATCGAGTGCTTTGTCTTGAGAAAAAGTCCGCGGCAAATCGACAAACGAGACATACGAAAACGAGTACATTACGTTACATTTATATTACGTGTTTTATCACAAGTTGCAAGTTGATCACCAGCAAGGCATTCGAGACTGAGTTTCCAATAGAATGCATTGTAAAGAATGCAAGAGTGCGATCAGAGTAATTGCGAAAAACACGAACACTGATGAATATAAGAGAAAGAGTTTGATGAAACTTGACACGCGCATCGAACAGCTATCGTTTTTATTAATAGCTTACTACAATATGTTATATTCTCATCAGAGTAATTGCGAAAAACACAAACATTGAACATAAAAAAAGAGTTTGATGAAACTTGTTACGCGTCCATATACTGCCGCGTATCGAACAGCTGTCGTTTTTTCCCTTTAAATAGCTTACTACAATATATTACATTCTCATCAGAGTGATTGCGAAAAAACACAAACATTGGTGAATGTAAAAAAAAGTTTGATGAAACTTAACACGTGTCCATATACTGCCGCGTATCGAACAGCTGTCGTTTTTTCCCTTTAAATAGCTTACTACAATACATTATATTGCCATTGCAAATATAATAAACAAGCATACAGATTTCCATTGTGATTTTCAAGAGAAAAAACCGTCATTTAATTTTTCTCACAGTAATATAATAAAACTAATCAAATTCGCGCGACGGCTGTACAAGCGTGACAGCGCATTAAAGTTGTCAAATGGTAACGCTATATTGCAATCTTAATATTAGTTACGATAACTCTTTTTCGTTTACATGGTCTTTTCTTCTAATTTTCTTGAGTTAATTTAAATTAAAAGTTAAAAGTTGAGTTAAAAGTTTTTTCTTAAAGTTTAATTATATCTAAGAAGCAAAAAACGCCAAAACGGCTTCAGCGTTCCGAAGCAAACACAATTTTCTATAACGTTACCATTCCAAAGTTAAAAGTCATAACATTCACTCACCTGATAATAACTCAGCGGATTAGATGGTGGTGGCACGTTGGGATCAACAAGTTCCATGTTATGCAACCAGGGTAACAAATACTGCAGCAGTAATTGCCGAACTTCCCTGCGGGCTGTTTGGAACCGATGTGTAATCTCTGAAACATGTGAATTTGCGATGTATCAAATGAAAATCACACGTCAAACAAGATTGATAACGTACTTTATTACCTATTTCCTCTTGTCCAATATTAATTTTCACATATTAATCTACTACCGATGTCGCAAATTTTATATATATAACCATTAACTGTTTATAAAATTATATTTATATTTATAAAAATTATATTTATAATTATATTTATTATATATATATAGATACATATTTATAGAATTATATTAATAAATATATTTATAGAATTATATTTATAATTTTAATTTATAGATTATATTTATAGAATTATATTTATAAAAATTGCTAAATAGAAAACATTCTTCAGTGAAAATGTACTTCAGTTACAAACCTACAATTTTATTTTAAAATTTTCTTTGGACACTTATTTATAATAAAATTAATTAATTATTAATTAATTATTATTTATCAATCTATATAAATAACACTGATTAATATTATATCAATAATTTTAATTAATAATTTATTGACAAATTGTATTTTATAAATCAACAGTAAAGTTTCGTGTAAATAGTCTCCGGTATTTTCATAACGAGATATTTGCAAAATATTCTAAAATATTTGTGTAGTAATTAAAAAAAGTAAAATTTGAAGAACATTATTTGGAATACAAAAGTATCCTAATATTTTGCAATAATTACAGCTTATTAGATTTAATGAAAAAAGTATTATATACTATCGGTATCAATAACACACACATATTGTCTTATAGCAATATTTAAAAAATTTATTTTCTTTAAAACCAATAGTAAAATATTTATTTCAAGTAAACCATACAAAATATAAATATAATATTATGCGTTGCAAATGCACAAGTTAAAATGAATATTACATTTTCAAATCGTGTCTCTCATTTTTCATATTATCAATTAAATGTTAACATTTTTTTTCAATATGAGAATATTTAATATTTTTTTTTGCTTTCACTTTAGTTCAATTTCCTTCGCATGAATGGCATTTTTAATTTGACGTGCATAGTAAAACGTAACATTCATGCGTGAGAATTTATACAAGCCATATAAAAAGTTGCAACTTTTGATGTGTATTTTGCAATTTTTCATGTGGCTCTTTTTTTAATTTAAAAACGTTTAAATACGATTGGTTGGCTCCTTTGCGGTTCAAATGAATTTAATATAATATTGTTAATCTATTATTTCTATTTTGCATTTGATAAATTCACACATCGTATTATATCGAGTGGGCGTATATTTTCAGTATCGCTATTGAGGTAACACGCAATTCGAAACAAGATGCGGAAGAGAGCATTTGTTATTTTCAGCCGTAAATATTAACCTATATTCATTTTAGGAACATGCACGTATATGTGAAGTCACGTGGAACCATTTTCACAACTGCCTGCAATTATTCGTAGTTGTTTCAACAAGACCGCCTACCCATTGAATTTTAGCTTGAATTTTGAAAATGTCAAATCAAACAATTGTTGCAGAGAGCTTTATCCTCTTTTACAATTCTTTCAGATTATTTCGCGCAATATAATTCTTGGTTAAATAATATCACAATTATTTTTGTTTTAATTAATAAAAACTTAAAATGTAAAATCAAAATATAAACTTTTTCTTTTTTGCAGATAGAATTTTTTCTCATATAATTTCAATGGTAGCTTTATAATAACAAGCTTTATTCAATTAGTAACGACTTGTTCGCTTAAAAAATCTATCTGTTATTGAAGCAATTTCCATTAACAGATTTGCTGTAATCTAATCAATCTATCCGCTAGCTCACACAAATTTCAATCTGTCTTACAAAAAAGTTAACACAAAATTTTTATTCTAGTTTAAACAGATTTATATTATATCTAGCTATTGATCTAACTTATTTGATTGTTCAACTAATATATTTTATTCGATAAATTAATACATAAAAAAATAATTAAATTATATATAAAAATAAAATATGATAATTTTCCTGAAACACATTTATAAAGTCAAAAAAATGCAAATTTATATAAAATACTGCCTATGTAATACTTGAATTAAACTTTGCATTAAATTTTTCTAAAACAAACAAAAATTTACAATTATTTGTATTCTATGTAACAGAAGTTTTCTATTCCTATTCAATTATTTTTGAATAAAATATCAGATGTAAAATTTTGCAAGATAAAATTGCAGTTTCACGTTATACAATTCTCGGAAATTGCAGTGCTCGTTGTTTCAAACGTATCAAAGCAAACTGATCTAACTGGATCACCTGGTTAACCGGAAACGTGCAGAATAGTAATAGAATTATTTTGCGTAATTGTTACGCAAAACTCTCTTGAGTTATACATCAGTATTCTGCTTCTTTTTTAAACCTTCACCCTTTAACGCAGCTCGTGACACTGACAGTGCGTCAGAATGCGAAATTAAAACGGAGGGAAGCGAGCAGTTATATAAATGAGACAACACTACAACTCTATGCGCCTTGCAGCTCATTAAAAGTAGCGATCATAGTTAAAAGGTTAAATTCATAAGAAGATAGGTCAGGGCCGGTTTTTCATGAGCATATCAATCCTGGATTTTATTATAAAGTCGAATATTCCGTGAATATTAATACTGGGTTTACTGCGAAAACATTTGTAATCATAAATTCTCTTGATAAAAATATATTCTCTTGATAAAAATCAAATTTTAAAGTTGACTAATTTTAATATCAAATTTTTAGATTTATTTTTCCTTTAATTAGAAATCACTCAGAATGCTTTTTGGTCGATGTAAATTATTATTCAGTTGTAAATTATAATTTGATAAAAACCCATTTCGATATATGAAATGTTAAAACAGATTCGCAATAATTCAATATTTATGCGATGACACGCCTCTGAAATAATAATCGATAAAAATATCCGCATATGAAGATTATTATACAATTAGCATCTCTTGAGTTTTACATTCGCGTGATTAATGTGAATATCTACAATAATTTTTGTTAAGATTTTACTGACATATACAGTGTACATCGTTATATATGGATTACATGTTCCCATGGCAATAAAAGAAAACAGATTACGCATTCACATATTCTCTTTTCTTTAGTATGACCTAATTGCATTACTACTATTTACAATGAAAAATAGATGAGTTTTATGGAATAAGCATGCTTTTTGTTTAATGCTTTGAAAAAACATTTTCTAGGAAAATAATTTTCTTATTCAATAGATATAATGCCATTTAATAAACATGCAAGCTATGTCCAACTCAATTCTTCATTTAATTAATAATCCTTATTTCTGTAAAAAAAACTGCACGTTTATCAAGACAAGAAGATATTTGATTATTAAACAAATTATTTTTGAACTCTTCTTTTCTAAATGCAAGTTCTTGTACGTCTTATATTACTAATAATAATTTTAATAATGTGATACGCGTGTGTGTATGTCTCATCATATCGCGTTTTAATAATATGATACGCGTAGGTTATAAATGGAGTTATTTCCTATAAAATTAAATAAGTTATTTCCTATAAAATTAACTTTGTAGAAAAGAATTGCAAAATTTTCATATGTGAGATTTTACCGATAACTTACTTTCAAGCGCATCCCACATCTTTTATTGCATTATTTTTAAAATACATTGCTGTATTAATAAAATGTAACATTAAATATAAATAGTTAAATTGTATTTCGAAAGTTCAATTATAAGAAAAAGACGAAGTTTTAAATGAGAGTAAATAATTTTAAATCATGCGGAAATAAGTTCTCTATAGCTATAGCATCCAGAATGTATCTGAAGCGTGTTCAGGTAGATTAGAAAGTTGTTAATTGCGTTTTTTTTTCATATATTGGAGCAAATTACGTCAAAGCAGAAATACATCGAACGCGGTAATACTACAGCTATAAAATAACACATTTTCAATCAATTACAGTTCCTGTCAAATACATTCGACATGAATGATTGCGAAAAGTTAAATTTAATTTTCCAGTTCAGAATGTGATTAAAAATTCCTATAGATTATAATTGATAATTTTTTTACATTTCCCCCTTTTTTAATTAAAAACGTCACTTTTTGTATTATCCATAAATTATCAGAGACATAAAAGCTGGAAGCAGAACTTGATTGTAATATTAGAAATTTAGTCCGACGTAATATTATATGGTCTCTTTTCCAAGTAATAAATTTTAAGAAATGACGGTTATACGACGAAAAGTTCTTGTGACACAAAGTTCTCGCAACTACAGCTTTCAAGTATCAATAAAGACTTGCGAGGATTCACTTACCGCTGAACATCGGCATTGTGAGCTCCGGATGTAATTGTGCCAGTTGACGCGAGAGATACATCTGACTGCGGCAATAAGTCGTCGACAAAAGCACGTCCAATGTGCCACCTCTGATGGTGCCACCCGAGGAAATCTCACCTGCAGGATTACTCTGTTGACCGGGCCCGGAAGTCACGGTGGCGGTGGAACTTGCAAGAGGATCATTGTGACCTACGGGAAAATCTTGAATTAAAATAAGATTGCAAAGTATTGATGCGTCAACGAGAAAGTTACACCGCTTTAATTACCGACCACTAATTAAGTTTACTTCAAAGTTGCAACGTAATTAATATTTACTTTCGATAAAAAGTCTCATCTTTGATAAAAAAGAAAACTCTACTTTTTTATTTTTTATACTTTTAAACCTTCATATCATGTTTATAATGTTAACAATTATAAAATTGCTCAAAAGGACGTTTTCTAATTAAATTTTCATCAATCTTCAAAGAAACAACAAACTACACATAAAACTCGTAACTATGAAAAACTTTAATAACATGTAACTGTGAAAGTGTTTTAAATAAAAAAAAAAAAACAAAAGAGAAAATACAGTAGCAAAGTAATTAATATCTACAAAATGCCACGTAATTTTTGTTTAATTGTTATTTATTATTATTGATATAATATTTAGTAACGCAATATGTCAAGTCTTCGCCATATGTCAAGTTTTCGCCAATAATTAATTCTAATAAAAACTAATTAATCGAAAAGATTGATATTCGTAATCAATACGTAGCACAATTTTCTCGTGACTTAAAACCTTCAATTTAAAGCATTTTGATTACGTTCGCTGTACAACAAAAATCTCGTATCTGTAAATAGCTTTAACTTCAGGAAATGCATATCCTCGCAAAAGGAAAGACACTCATCACGCTATGATATACGCAAGCATATCAAACAGACGCTTATTAAACAGGACGTATGAAAGTACATAAAGCATGTAAACTTTCTTTTATAAGAAAACTAATTCATATTCCTTGCGTAAATTATTATTCCAGATATAATTATAGATAATCCATTATTTTTTTATCGTATCAATAAAAATTGAGCAAAATATATTTTATATATGATGTAAAAGAATATCTTTTTAACAGAAATATTTTTCTTATTATAGTCTGTGAAAGCATAACAACTTATATATAAATCATGAAAGCATCCCTTTCGCGATATGGCAGATTGACGCGAGCTGCAAAGAGGCGGGAATTTATATACTACTTTGATGCGCAGAAGCCAAAATGCTGTATGCATCGAGCTTTATCAGGAATGGATGCATCAGGGTGCCTAGCAGAAATAGCTGAGACGGCACTCGGATATGTCCTCGGAAAGTGTAACAGATAATATCCGAAATTAAATGTGCCAAATATCCCATTCAAATTGTTCTTATAATTAAACGTTTAACATTATAGCTGAGTTTTTCGTTTAAAAAGAAAAAAAAAAATAGTGAAACGTGTTGCGGCTACCGTATGATTGATAATAGATCTACTGAGACATAATTAATTTGCGTTTGTTAATTTGTGCTATTAAAATAAAGTATCAACAGAGTGGCAAATGTTTTAAATAAGAAATTTAAATAGTGTCAGTGAATGACCGACAAAAATGCATTATATCTCATACCGGTATTGAAAATGTCACGTGTGGTAAGGATTTCCATAATTTTTCGAAACATCAAAGCTATGTGATGTTCATGCATGAGATATATGTATATATTTTGGAACATTCAAGTGTTCAGAAGATCGCGGTTAAAGGAAATTCATGACATCTGTAGAATCTGGATGGCAGCAATGGCTTGTGCGTTCTGTACGTTTTGTAAATAAATCATGATAATGCATTCATTCAAAGGCAATAAACAGACATACATATCAGGCATACATATCAATTAATATTCAGATGTATTATAGAGTGTCGCGGCCAATAGAAATGAAAAAAAATCAAAGACTTCATAAAATGCATGCAGATTATGTTGATAACAAAAATAAAAATAATAAATCCATAAAAATAACGGATTACTTTTTACTAAAGCACTTATATTTCTATATAATTATTTTTTTAATAACTGCTTTGATCTGATAGAAAGTTTCTAATGTTTTTATAAATTTCTTTTATAAAAGTTATAAAAAATTTCACGTTATTGTCAAAATAATGTATGTTAGAATTTTATTTTTTCACCAAAAATTTTCAAATACGAATCATTAAAAACGTAGAGAACTTGTTCAAAATATAATGTAAGGGTTGAACTAAAGAAAAACAAACACTTAAAATTATCAAATTATCAAGTGTTACCAAATTATTAGATTTAATAAACAGTTTCTAACGTGTACCGCTCGAAAGTGCAAAACAATATTCACTGGATGTTAAATATTGTGTCAAGAATATTGTTTTGTAATTATGTGCATGAGATAATTATTTGAATTTAGTTCAAATGTTAATATTATAAACATTTTATAAAAAAGTTGCTAACACTGTAATTTATATCGGGTGTTTCGCGATAACGTGTGATAGCACAGATAAGAATTTTTCCTACGCAATCATCAATACGTTGTAAAACAGTTCTCACTTTTATAATGAATTAAGTATTGATGTGAAAAAGTTTGTGAAAGAATGTGAAAAAGAAATATTTATCGAGTATTTTATTTTAATTTAATAATAATAACAATAAAATTTCAAGCATCAATTATAGCATATTCATGTAACTGCGATAATTTAAGTCAACAGTTGCGCAATGCATTCGCTAATGATTTGTTAACATATCTGTCGTAGGATTTCCGCGCGTATGCGTGATAAAAAGCAATTTCTTTATAAATATTTTTATAGTAAACTCAGATAATGCATCTTATGATAAGAAGTGTAATGCTTGCAAAATGCTTGCTACTTAACTAAATGACAATAAAGTAAATTAAAAAATTTTATTAGGAAGAAAGATAATTTGATCTCGTACTATATCGATAACATAAAAAAGATGCATAAATTAATTCTATTAAAATTTCTTTAAACTTGAGTAAAATAGAAAAATTTTAAATTACAAAGCACAACTTTAACGAAATACTTTGTTGAGTGCGCTAAATATAAAATATCAGTTGGCTAAATTTGATTTCCATTAAGTAACTTCCTAGCTGTCGACGCTTCGAAAGCCAACCGACAGCTTGCCTCAGTTTCTAAATTCAGTCCCGATCTCGATGGTTCGGAGGAAATGCGCGACACTTAGAATATTCTCTCTCTTTCTATATAGAACATACTAATGTTCTATATACTAATGTTCTTTCAGGTCATCGTGCAATGATGTAAGTTGTTATGCACTCTACGCTCGGCGCGGTTGTACCGCCTTTCCGCTCTTATTTTCATTGACAACTGTCGCAAACGAGATCAACGCTTAAGGATGTCTGTCGAAAATAAAACCGTACCAGGATGGTACGCGACCGATATGCTCTTTCACGACATCGCACGGTACTATGAGTCGATTCTCCTGCCGCTGGGCCTGCTGGGCAACTGTCTGTCCATGTGCGTCTTCTTCGGCACAAAGCTGCGTTATTCCTCGTGCAGTATTTATTTGGGCGCCCTAGCGATAAGCGACACCGGCTTTCTGGTGTCGGCCTTCATAAGCTGGCTAAACATAATGCACATAACGAATCTGTTCAACGGGCGAGGCTTCTGTCAATTCTTCACGTATCTGGGCACCGTTTGCGGCTTTCTCAGCGTATGGCTCGTCGTGGCTTTTACCGTTGAGCGGTACATTGCGGTCAGGTGGCCACTTCGACGTCAATCCTTGTGCACGGTGAGCCGAGCGAAAACCATAACGATGGGGCTGACAGCATTGGCGATTCCACTGTGCAGTCCCGTGCTGCTGTTCCTCAAGTCACACGAAATCACCGAAACTTTGAGGGAGTGTGCCTTGGATTTTGACTGGCAGTCCTGGGCGACCGTCTACAACGCCCTTGACGCCTTCATAACGTTCGTCGTACCTCTGACTGTGATAGTGATCTTCAATACTCTGATAGCGCGCAACATTTACAAGCAGGACCACGTTCGAAGAACATTGACCATAGAATCCGACGCTTCTATCAACGAGAGGAACCAGACTTCTCGCAACAGAATGCCACAGACCAAGGTCACGAAAATGCTCATGGTGGTTTCGAGCGCGTTCTTCTGTTTGAACATGCCTTCGTGCGTCTTCAGGCTGCTCGCCTTCATTTACGTACGTATCGACGATTGAATGCTCAATTGAATGCAGATCGTGAATTAAAGAGCTTCTTAAGAATGCATTTTAATGTCGGTGAAAAAAATATCAATTACATTTCTTCTAGGATTCAAATCTCTTTTCACGATTCTCGTGTTTGTCTAGTCAAGTCTTGTTTAATATGTTGTTTTTCGCATTGAAGAATATTTTTGCCTAATTGCAAAGCCACTTGCGGTGATATTACGCGTCATCATACCTTATTAAATCGATCAATGTATGCTCGCCAATATTATTGTAATATTCACGTGAATAGCTTTTAATGCCGTGCTCAATCGTACGTGGACGGTGCATTTTGGTAATTACAATGTTAATAACTACTATTTGTAATTTCAGGATAATCATAATCCACCATTATGGCTCGTTTTGACGCAGCGAATAGCCTACTTATTGTTCATCACAAGTTTCGGAATAAATTTTATTCTTTACTGCGCCAGCGGACAGAATTTCCGTAGAGCGATGGTTGACATGTTCATGAGGCGTTCAGATATTGAGAGGAACAGAACTTTCATGCAGACGGCGAATCACGGAAAACAATATGGTAAATATTTAATGATCCAATTATACCAAAGTAATGATAAAGCCCGCGTATACATTTATAAATATCGTATTGCTCGGGAAATTTTTTTCTCTTTTCTCCTTTGCATAAACTCTTGCAATAAACGACGAAGAAACGATAAAGATCAGTTAATGAAACTTTGTGCTTTTTAGTTTCAGAATTCACGCGCAAATGCAATTCGACAAAACAGACGCATTTTGTCGACAATGCGCATCAGCAAAGTTCACAAGAGATGCAAAAACTCCCACTGAATTGAAAGTATACTGCAGTATAGTTGCGGAGAAATTATAATAACGTAAAATATTACTTTTGCTGTGCAAATAATTAAACAAAGGACAATAAGAAAATGATATATCACGCTCCGACGCAGTATTATAATACACGGCAAAGAAGAGTCACAAAACTTACCAGTCTCGAGTTCCGTGGCTGGAAGCGGACCCACGTTTCCGAAGAAGCGTTGATCCAACAATTGAAGAAGCTGTAGCGCCGCATCGTGAACCGGAGCGCGAGGACATCCCGTGTTCATCAATGTGACATTAATGACGCTCGTGTAGTGATCACAAGGGTATTCTCTGAAAAAAAAGCCAAGAAAGAGAAAATTATAAATGTACTTACAGCTGTTGAACAAGTGTCTACATGTTATTCTGTCACAATTCAGTAATTGATGTAGAAATACGTGTCTCGTAACCCTTCATTCTCACTGCACGTCTTATTTTCCTCCACTTAAATAAACATTTTTCTATTCAGGTCCTAGATATAAATTCTTGAATTCGTACGCACCTGGCGCTGAAAATTGTCGCCAAAGCGAGAAAGCAGCCGTCAGCCACTTGAGGCGCGCCGGTGTAGCATCGGTCTACCACCCAATCCAAGAGCATACCAATGTCGGGGTTCCCCTCGAGCAACAAAACAACAGTTTCACGTGCGAGCATATAAATCTGAAAGAAAAGATATGATGTTAGAAATAAGACTTACAGGGAGGAATATTTTAACGTTCCAGTTATAATACGCATTTAACGATAATTTTGTGATTCTCAATGTAATGGAAGAATAATATTTATAGATAAAATCTCGTGCGAAAGAATAATTTATAGAACTTACTTTTTCGTTTTTACTGGCCAATAACAAATCCAGCCATTGATATAAGATTGCGCCCTCCTCCGAAAGCGACTGCGGATTGAAGCACGATCCACAACAGAGCAATCCGCTCATAGCTTGCAAGGCTGAGAGCTGTAATTCCGTACAAGACTTTTCCTCCTCTTGCATAGACGATGTGCTCGTAAGCGGCCTGCCGTAAACACCGGCCCAACTAGCAAAGAGCATGAATAGGTTTCTTCTTAAATCCCTCTTCAATAAGGTGTAACACGTCTCCACTGGAAGAAAGAAAATAAGAAGTCAGAAAGATAATAAACTAAAGCTACATGTATATATATATTCAGGATTATCGGAGTAAAGTCGCTTACGTGAAAAGCTCTTAATCATCTTTCTAATAAAATTGCAAAAGTGTAGTTTGATGTCTCGTACAGCGGGTGCTTCCTTGTCAGTCTCATTCTCTAAGTAAATGCGCGCACCGTCTATATACTCGACGAATGTCGGATGTAAAGATTGCGTTTCGCGATCCAACACTGCAGGACTGAAAAAAAGAGGATCGCAACAATTTCTTATTCAGTTCCTTGAGTAAAAAAAAAATAAATAAAAAGCAGAAAAAAGAAAGAAGGCTTTGACTCACCAGATACCAAATGTTCCGTACTCGGCGATTAATTCCAACACCCTTACTAGCTGCAATCTCAGAGCGTCGCGTCTTCGTCGCCGTCTCATATTCTCCTGCTTCCGATCGACCGCCTCCCGGATGTAAGGAACCAACTCTTCCATCAAGTCTCTGTAACAAGTAGATGGTTGAAAATCGTTTTGCGATTTCATCTAAATTCATCTGAATTGTTGGATTAGAAACTCGCTTACTTCAGTGCATCGGCGTTTACTTTTCCGATCGCCTGCACCGCGGCGTCCCTCACATCGACGGCCTCGCATCTCAGCAGAGGCACGGTCAGCTTGTACAAGGCCGCGGGGCTCGCGTTCGTGCCCGGTGACTTGTTGTCGCCGCGTTCCGCGGATAAGCTGTCCGGCGAGGAGCTGCGAAAACGAGACTACTGCGTTTCACCGCTTCTTCATTTCCAGACTTGTTACGCTAAGCCTTTCCACTGGAGCTCGTAAATTAATAAAAATAAAGTGTGCGCTCGAATATCTCTGAGTTTATAATCTCGCAGAAAGGCGATCGGGAACGGTCGTGAGGCTAGGCAAGGATGGTATACGCGCAAAGTCCGCGCAAAAAGAAATGTTAGGCCGGCGAGAAAGAGAGAGAGAGAGAGAGAGAAAGAGAGAGAAAGATAGAAAGAGGAAGAGAGGGAAAGAGCGCGAGCGCGAAGCTGAAACTTCAATAGAAAAAAAAAAAAAAAAAAAAA